AAGGTTAAAAGAAATTGGACCATGAAACAAGAACAGAATGCTGTTTTAAAAGGAACATTCAGAGGACAAAATAGAAATGAAGAAGGAGGAAAGAAGAAAGGGGAAGAAGAAGTAGGGAAGGGGAAATTAAAACATTACAGCAGAAATTTTTAAAAATAAAAACAGAATGGAAGGATGACAAGACGAAGTTGAGGAAGGCTCCCAGAGGGTAGGACGAAAGGATAAAGGGAGGGGAAATAGGAGAGAAGAGGTTATTTAAACTTAGAAGACCAGCCTGAGACATCTAATACCAAACTAAGGCAGTAAGAGACAATGGAAACAATGAGAGAGACTCTCAGAACCAAACAACACCAGTTTCCAAATTGAAAATGGCCGACAAAGCGCCCAGCACGATAGAGGGACATTGTTCCACCCTGAGGCACACGCAACACTGGAAAGTCTCACCACGCTGGTGTCCAAGAAAAGATCCTAAAATCGTCAAAGCAAAAGATAGATTACAGACTGTCAGGACTTCCCAAGACTATCTCAGCAATTCACCAAGGAGAACTCCCAGGACTCGGCATCAAGTCATACAGCTATGATGTGTTCCAGTGAAAGGATGCAAAGCAAAATCAGCAAAAGGAAAAGGCATATGGGACGAATTCCACGGGGGAAATAAAGCACAGACTTCCAGGAGTCCTCTCCCAGTGCAGTCACACGGGGCATGCCTAATTGCTCCCCCAATGAGTTGTGACAACACATGTGAAATGTTGTCTACCAGGGAAGCTCATCAGAGAGTCGGCACCCAGGGTTTTTTACTGGGGACTGGTCACGTAGGCACCCTCTGCCTGGCACATACCCAAATTCCAGACTTCCAGGAGGAAAGCAGATGTTCAGCACAAACTGTTAGTACAAATAGTTAGTATAGTATAGTATAAATAGTTGAGGGGTATCGAGCTGCTTTTACCAGTTCAGGACAGGCTGGGGACCCTCCCCAAATCCAAGTTCCCAGATGATAACCGACGACCACCTTGCAAGCATCTTTTCCAAGGATGGCAGTCAGGCTTTCCAGGTTTACTCTTCTGTAGGCAGGTAGATCAAAATGACATTGAGTTCCTCGGCAGCAGTGCCAAAAACTAAAGTTTTCCCAAGGAAGGGTCCTGAGGAAAATAATTCCAAACTGTCAGTGAAATGTGAGGGTAGGGTTTTCAGACATGCAAGGCCTCCAAAACATGTTATCCATTCCCGTTTATTGAAAAATGACTAGAGACATTGCTCTACCAAAATTTGGGCATAAAACAAGAAAGAGGAAGACAATAACTGAGAAATTGGATCCAGTACAAGAGAAAGAGCAGTGAATTGATTCCTGTATGATGGAGAGGGAAGGCCCTAAGGGCATGGCTGTGCGTGAGACCTAGAGGTCACCAGCCCAGAGACGAGAGGGCCCAGAGGCTCTGGGAGAGGCTTCCTCAGGATGGTAAAACTGATGAAAGTGCTTGATTATACAGAAAAGAGAGTTATAAACGAAGAGAGTTAGGACCAATGAAAAAGCATGGCAATTATTAACTCCAGGAAAAACCAAAAAGTTGTGTAAGAAAAGGGAAGCAATCGAGGCTTATCAGTAGCGTTTCCATAGTCGTAACACTGAATCCTTACCTGATCAAAATGGTGATATAATTACTGGAAGTTGATGATGGGACCGAAATTTTGCGTTGGTAGGGAGCAAGGAGTGGTGGGAGTACCAACCTGTGTGAGAGAGGACTAAGCCTCCACCTTCTGTAGTGGGAAGTCGATACATAATAGGAAATATCTAAAACTGAAACACCAGGAAGAAGTAATAGAAGCATGTTATTTAGAGACACAGTAAAATTCCCAAAGAACCCATTAAAGGAGTTAAACATAATTGCCTGTAGGTAGAAGGACATTGGAGACGTGGAGTTGGGGGATACGATTTGTAAAAAATCTTACAGAACAGCTTGAGTCTTGATTGTTGATAAAAGTAAACAGTTTTGATTTAGATATGAATTAAGAGCAAAGCAAAAGAGGGAAGAGAAAGGAAATCATTGAGGTGGGGGGGGAGGAGGAGGAGGAGAGAAAGCAAGGGAGAGAGGGAGGAAGATGACAAGGTGACAGTTCACACTGTCTCTGCTCTGGCCAGGCCACCTCTTGTTTTTTCCAGGCACCACCCTTCCCAAGCATGAGTCCCTTTCTGGTATTACAGCCAGGAGCAAAGGGATCTAGGCGACTAGGTACAAACTGGGTGCTCACCTGGGGATGGGAAGTCAGGATTGTTGCTGATCAGGTGCCAGAATATAGCATAGACTCTGCATATTGAGTGGCAAGTGGATGAATGAATAAATGAACTTTCGTTGCTCTTAAGTCCTACAGCTCATCAAGTCTCAGAAGTTTCTGAACAAGTTGGTGATTTTGGTGGAAACCGAGAAGGAGAAGACGCTGCGGAAGGAATATGTTTTTGCTGACTCCAAAGTAAGTGAGGACAGAGTGCTTAGATGGGTCAGGAGGGGAGTGGGGGACACGTGTCTTTGGAGGCTTGTGTGTGCCTGGAAATTTGTACCCTTAGCTCACTCAATTCTCACCACTCATTTCCCGTCTGGGAAAACCGGTCCCAGGAAATTAGGGGACACATTCCTGGTCGGCGGGGATTTGAATAGCTGCCAGTCCATGCTCCCCTCTCTGCCACATTCCCTGCCCCCAAGAGGGCCCTTGGGCTTTATCACTTGTGTCTCATCCAGCCCTGATCCCCACTGGGAGACGTCTCAGCTTCCCGGGGCTGGACTCAGAAGTCCTCTGGGGCACCTCAGATTTAAATCTGAATACCAACCAGCACTCCTTCCGGGGCCACCTTTTGCCCCATCTGCAGGAGTAAGATGCCCCACCAGGACTGGCTCCTGGAGCAGGAGGTGGTGTGGGCCAATGGAAATACTCGGGGTCTTTGGGCATTGCACTGGGCCTCTGTCTAGCCAGAGGCAGGGTCCTCTGTGATCTGATCACTCCCCTCTGACACGCCACCCAGGGCCTGAGACCCTCCGTCTTGGCCTTACTCTTTATCCTGTAGTATATGGCTCACACGAGGCAGGGCACAAAGAGCTTTCATCACATCAAGTGTTGGCTGACCAGGCGTCAGCAGCATGGCAAGGCTGAGGGACGAGGGCTCCCAGCTCAGGCGTACAGGGACAGTCCCCACCAAGTGCCAGAACCTTCCTTCTTTTACCTGCTCCATAGATGCTGTGTCAGCGCCCAGGGTGAGGGGGTGCTGGTGGGAGGCCAGCAGGAGGCCAGGCGGTGCCCAGAACTGGCGGAGAGGGTGGGATGAACTCAGAGGAATGACAGAGAAGGGGCTGGGAGACACAAAGATGCAGGGGGCCAGATGGGGCAGGGCGGGGAATGGAAAGAAGGAACGTCTGGCTGGACCTCATCCTGGGTACATGGACATAGATCTAAAAACCAATTCTGCGCATTGCTGCAAGCTCAGAAGGATTGAGACACAGCAGTAAACTGTGGCACCACGTTTTGAGCCATCCCGAACTAAAGGCAGGTTTCCATAACGACAGTCATCATAACATCTTTGTGAGCAGGTTTCTTCAGAGGGGATTGATTAGCTGAGATCTGCAATTTTTTAGGTTGAATCATACGAAATTGCGATCTCTGTAGGTGCGAAACAGCTAAACATTGGTAATTTCATATGGTACAACCTAAAATTTGCGTGTGTGCTTGTGTGGTCAGCCTGCCCTTGACAGTCTGCTCTGCTTTGTGCCCCGCTGTATGCCCAGGTGCCCGGGACAAGTCAGGGAAGACTCTTCAGGAGTCTCTGACAGCCTTCATGTATTCTCTTCTTTTTGGTTTCTTAGATCTAAATTTTCTTTCATTAAATAAGTAACCTATTCTCATTGGTGAAAAAGTAACAAATACAAAAGAAACAAAAAGTTTAAAATGGAAGCATCCATATGCTGCTAGTAGCCTTTGGACTCTCAGGATGTTTTTGTTTTGTTTTGTTTAAAGATTTTATTTATTTATTCGAGAGACACAGAGCACGAGCAGGGGGAAGGGGCAGAGGGAGAGAAAGAAGCTGAGCAGGGAGCCCCAGGCGGGGCTCCATCCCAGGACCCCAAGATCATGACCTGAGCCAAAGTCAGACGCTTAACCGACTGAGCCACCCAGGCGCCCCTTGTTTGTGGGTTGGTTTGTTCTTTTTAAGATTTTATTTATTTATTTGACAGAGAGAGACACAGCGAGGGAGAGAACACAAGCGGGGGGAGTGGGAGAGGGAGAAGCAGGCCTCCCGCCGAGCAGGGAGCCCGATGTGGGGCTCGATCCCAGGGCCCTGGGATCATGACCTGAGCTGAAGGCGGATGCTTAACCAACTGAGCCACCCAGGCGCCCCTCCTTGTTTGTGTTTTTAATAAAAATGCAACAATGCTATTTATACTGTTTTGTCAACTGGCTCTTTGCATGTAACAACGTAGTTTGGACATCTATCCTTATTGAGAAAGTATTTCTGCAGCGGAACTTGTGAACCCTACAGTATTCTGGCATGTGGATGACCCATACTACAGTTATTCACTTGCTTCGTAGGATTGGACATTAAGGTTGTTCCTAGTTTTTTTCTGTATTGACGTGCATGCTGCAGTCCCCGTGCTACGGCTGGGTCTTTGTGCGGTTCCTGGTGTCTTAGAGTCAGATCCTTGCAGAGGATTGGCAGGGTCAAAGAGAAGCCACTTCCTTAAGACTTCGGACCCTCTTTCCAGATGCTCTCCTGCAAGTTCGTACTGATTTGCGCTGCTCTCAGTTTTCTTGAAGCTGACCAAGCCCTTTGAAAGTGTAATGTGCAGGGAGGCGGAGGCCTTTCTGAGTCTGTCTGCCCTTCAATCCCTAGAAGAGAGAAGGCTTCTGCCAGCTTCTTCAGCAGATGAAGAATAAGCACTCGGAGCAGCCTGAACCAGACATGATCACCATCTTCATCGGCACCTGGAACATGGGTGGGTCCATATGTGCCCCCGCACGCTCCTCCCACCACCTCCTCTTGGGTTCTGCTTTGCTGCCTCAGACATCCGCAGATGGACGGGGGGGCGTCTGTCTTCCTCCCACCCACCCACCCCCACCCCCACCCCCACCCCCACCCCCACCCCCCAGCCTATCTGCACAGCCTCCTTTCTAGGGAATTCTTTACTTTTGCTGAGACAATGGAAGCGAGAAATGAGCTCTGGGATTCTCATACCCCAGTAGCAGCTGGGCTGGGTTACTTTGCATGTCTAAACTGGAAAGTTGTAGTTATAGTCTGGATGTGTAGGTAAAGAGGCTTTGTGCACCTGCCAGCCTTAGGCAGCTCTCCAAGGGGGCCTCAGGCCTAGAAGAAAGAACTCCCTCCCTGGGTGGGGTTGCCAGATTTATTGAGAGAGAAAGAGAGTGAGATGATGCCCAGTTACATTTGAATTTCATGTAAACGGCAAAGTTTTTTTTAGTATTGGTATCTAGCTAGAAATGATTATGCTAAATGTATACTACGCATATTTATATACTAATCTATATTATATGCTCGTATATGTTGTACTGAATATAAGTTGTAGCAAATCGTGTAACTATTCAGCTGAAAAGAAGTACTAAATCTACACCAAATATATACTGTATCAGCCATGTACTGTATACTTATATACAATATATATTTATATACTAGATATATCACACTAAATATAAATTATACTAAATAATTATTTCATGGAAGTATTTAGCGAGGAGAAAAATAAGTAGATACAGGATGTCTAGTTCATTTGAATTTCAGTTAAACGGATATTGGTTCATTTGAATTTTAGTTAAACGGCTGTTGCACGGGGCATACCTTTTGTAACAGTTCTCTGTTGTTTTACTGAAACTTGAATTTAACTGGGTGTCCCTCTAACCCCACATTGTCCAGAGCAGAGTCAGGCTCACCCACCCTCTGACCCAACAGATAGCCACCCAGCAGTGAGGGGGGCGGGGGTGAGCAGCAGCCCTTCGAAGAGGGGCAGGGGGTGATCTGGAAATGAGAACACAATTTGCTCCTCCTGGCCTATGGGCTGAACGGAGAGTGGGCCAGAGCACCTGGGCCCAATTCCGCGAGCCGCCAGCCCTGCACAGGCATTCATGCCCTGATGTTGCAGGGGGCACGGCAGTACTGAAGTTGAACTCTGGCCCATGCTTGGGGTCCCATGTCCTCTTCTGCCCTCCCTTGTGTTTCTTACTGGCCCCCTGATTTCATCAGCTCGCTCTCAGGGGTTCATGCGCGGGGGTACACTGCCCTTGTTTTTCCCTCTGTGAGCATGGGGGGCTTAGATTCGCCTGGACATGGTGAAGTCCGTCCTGGAGGGGGCGCGCCGTTCATGCAGAAGGCAGTGCGGAAGGAGCTGGCTGGGTGGGTGGGTGGGGTCTCCTCAAGCAGAGACCACCAGCCCCTAGGGCTTACGCTCCCACTGCGAACCATAGTGGGGCGCAGAATGGCCGCTGTCAGGTGACTTGGGTTCTTGGCCAAGTAGGTTATCTCTCTGGGGGAAAAGTTTACTCAACTGTGAAGGGGTGTTTCGAGGAGAAATAAATCCATCCTGTCTTTATTAAGCTACTTTGACTCGTTTTTCGAAATGAGAATGGAGGAGGTCTCCACACTCCTCCTACTCAGCGCAAATCAGTACTCAGTTTGCGGCTGAGATCTCTCTGGTTTGCAAGGAAGTCCCTGTCGTCTCCCAAACCTGTCAGCCTGCTGGGCTGTCCTTGCCAACAGGATGTAAACTCCTCGAGGACTGTCTCAGTTACTCAGTCAGCCCCAAAGGCTAGGACGGTGTTTGACGTCTCGTGCAACTAGTTCAAGTCACCCTATGGACTCTTCGGTTATTTCCAGTCTCTGAAACTTCATGTTCTCTTTACAGAGAGACTTAACTGTGCTCTGACCCCACCTGACATCCTGGGGGTAATAGTACCTAATTCTCCAGCTGTGGCATTTCGTGGGGTGGCCTGAGTGGTTTTCAGTGGCTGGGTGAACCTCCTGCCCCGCACACTTTCCCCCGCCTGTGTTTTGAACTCTCCTGATGTACCTTTGACTCACTTGGTGTTGGGTTTTGCTGTTGAAGGTAACGCCCCCCCTCCCAAGAAGATCACGTCCTGGTTTCTCTCCAAGGGGCAGGGAAAGACACGGGATGACTCTGCTGATTACATCCCCCATGACATCTACGTGATCGGCACCCAGGAGGACCCCCTGGGAGAGAAGGAGTGGCTGGAGATTCTCAGACACTCCCTGCAAGAAATCACCAGCATGACTTTTAAAACAGTGAGTAGCTGGCCGGGGCACCGGGTGGAACTCCGGGGCAGTGGGCTTTGTGAGGCCGGCCAGGAGCATCTCAGACGCAAGGGTGGGCTCGGCCTGTGAGCTCTCAACTTCCAAAGAGACCCGTTTGCTCAGTGGTCATTCCCCACCACCACCTCTGCCTTCCAGGGCCAGAGAGGAGCACCTCCATTCTGAAATTGGTGTTGCTGAAAATCACTGGGGCCCTCCCTCGTCCTTGCCCCTGCTTGTAGATCATCCTTACTTCATTGAAATCTTGCCAGTCCTGGCTCTCATCTTTAGTATACTTTGTTTCATTTGCAAGGCATCCTTAGACGCTCCCCTGAAGTTTAGCGATTACAGATAGGGTCCCCCATCTTGGAGGTCAGGGTTGGGGGTAGATCTCTTGCCCTGTGGTCAAGCACCATTGCCCTGGCCAAGGGTGACCGTGTTGTCCACCCCACCAGATTGCCATCCACACCCTCTGGAACATCCGAATTGTGGTGCTGGCCAAGCCGGAGCATGAGAACCGCATCAGTCACATCTGCACTGACAATGTGAAGACAGGCATTGCCAACACTCTGGGTGAGCAGGGAGGGGGCCGCGCTCATGGGGCCATCCCACCCGAGCCGACTGGGACATCCCTGTGTCTCACTTCCTGGGCTCCCCTCAGTCCTGGGTAACCAGGTTGGTGGGTTCCCCCAGCCTCCACCCGGGGTCTACACCAGTGCTGCTGGGGATCTGGCTAAAATGCGGGTTCTGACTCAGCAGGTAGCAGGCGGAGCCTGACATTCTGAGTTTCCAGCTAGCTTGCAGGTGGGGTCATGCTGCTGTCCCGCAGGCCCCACCTAGAGAACCAAGGACCTAAGACAGGAGTTGACAGACTTTCTGTAAAGGGCCACATAGTAAATATTTTAGGCTCTGTGGGCCGGGTGCCATGACACAAAAGGAACTACAGATTGCACAAACGGGAACGCGAGTAGCTGTGTTCCAGAAAGCTTTGTTTGCAGACACAGGTGGGGCTGGATTTGGCCCGCAGGCTTTCTGTTGCCAACCCCTGGTGTAGATCGAGGTTGGATGCGGAAACGCTGGTATCAGCGGTGAGCCAAGGGGGACCAGGCAGGGCACCTTCGAGAATTGAATTCAGAGCAGAGGATGACGGGAGTGCATTTGTAAGTGTGAGTCTGGGTGTGGGTGTGAGTGTGAATCCTGAGTGTGTGTGAGTCTACAGGTGCAAATCCAAGCCCGTGTGTCTGTGTACACGCAGGTCTGTCTGTGTAAGCCTGTCTGGGCGGAGTGCGCATGTGACTTTGTGTGTGTCTGAGTGTGCATGCGAGTCTGTATGTTCGAGTCTGAGTACATGTGAGTCGGTGTGCGCGCGTGTGCAGGTTGGTCTGAGCGCATGTGTCAGTCTGTGTGTGAGTGTGTGTGGGCAGGTGCACCCACGCAGGCCATGGGCAGGGTTGAGGGCGAGGCCAGTGGTTTCTGGTGGTTGGAGTCAGGGACTGGACAGAGTCCCTGAGACAACAGGAAACAGAAGAATTGCTGCAATCGAACGTGAAGAGCTCTCTCGGCTTTTCTGCTGACAAACCGCACCCTGCCCGCATCCACACCCACTTGACCCCTTCCTTCCTGTCTCTGGAGCTGCCCTGTCAAAGCCCATGCCCTTCTGCTGCCCAGGAACCTCTCTCTGTCCTTGCTGCAGCCTGCCTGGGCTGCCCACCCACCTGCCACCAGCCCCTTCCCAATACACGTAAGGTAGTCAGACCTCCCGGTACGAGCTAAAACCAGGCCTCAGCCAGGCCGTGCCTCCGGCTGTTGGCCCAGCTCTTGTTCATCGTGACAGAGCCGCCCGTGTGCCCCCCGTGTGCCCCCCCCCAACATGGTGCTGGGCACTGGACAAGGGACTGGGCACACTGCAGCCTGCTCACATCCCATGCACCTGCTCCTCCCTTCCCCCAACCCTGGGGCGGGCTTCTTTCCCCTCTTCTCCCCCCAAGTGGCTCCCAGCCGTGGTTAGCGTGGGACAGAGCCCGGTGAATGCTGGTTGGCTAATGCTGGTGGACATCATCCCTAGAAGAGCTAAGGCCTTTTTGAGAACATACATGTGCACGGCCGACAGCTAAATGCTCTAGGAGTATTACCCCATTTACTAGAAACGCCCCGTGGGGGGCGAGGACCATTGTTGACCCCATTCACAGACAAGATGCTGGAGGCGACAGTGATGTTCCTTAGCCTGTCCCAGGCCCAGTGGCAAGAAAGTGGTGGGCAGGGATTTAAACCAGGTCACATCGCAGGATGGGGAGAAAGCTGGAAGGAGAGCCCCCCCCCCGCCCCGGGGCGGGGGAGCAGGGCCACCCATCGTCGATAGGTGGATGGTCTTTGAGGTCCTTCCCCTTAGGCTCCACCCAGTGCTGTCCAGCTCAGACAGAAGGAGAGCCACATAGGTGGCTACGAATATTCTAGGAGCCACGTTCAGGAAAGTTAAAGGAAACAGGTGAAGTCGATTTTCATAACACTTAATCAAACACCATTCTCTCAAAAGATTACCATTGTATGCAATATAAAAATTATTAAATATTTTACATTCTGTCTTTCTTGCTGAGGCTTATAATTCTGGTGCATCTGTATACTTACAGCCCTCCTCAGTTGGGACCAGCCACATTTCAAGGGCCCAGCACATACAGCTCAAGCCGTTGACCAGAGCAGGCTCTCAGACGTCTGCATGCGTCAGAATGCCCTGGAACAGGGATGGCAAATTTTGTCTCTTAAAAGGCCAGCCAGGAAATATCTCAGGCTCTGCAGGTCATGCAGCCTCTCTTGCAACTACTCAACTCTGGGCATAGCTGTGTTCCAATAAAATGTTATTTACGGGCTCCTATTTGAATTTCGTACCATTTTAATGTGTCACAAAACCTTCTTTTGATTTTTTTTCCCCAACTATTTAAAAATGTAAAAATCCTCTTCACCTGACCTGACATCGGGCCTGCGTTTGGCCCACCCCTGACCTACAGGGCTTGTTTCACCCACATTCCTGGGCCCCGCATCCAGAATTTCTGATTTGGCAGGTCCAGGGCGGGGCCTGAGAATTTGCACTTCAACAGCTCCCAGGTGCTGCTGCTGTTCTTTGGGGAACACACTCTGAGAACCACTGGTCTAGAATAGGTTGGAAACTCAGAATAAGAGGTGGCCTCAGTGAGGGTTTTGGTCCCACCAGGAGCCTGGTTAGCTGGGGGAATGTCAGCCCACCCAGCCCCGGGCTCCTTTGACTTTGAATCCTCCCCAGGCTTCTGGCTGCTTTCGGTGGTCTTGCCTGCTTGGCCTGTGGGGTAACAGTGAGTTCCCGGGAGGGGGACAGCCGGATGACTCAGGCCTGCTGAGGACTCCCAAGGCCGCAGGCCGCTCACCCTGTTTCTTCTGGTCCTGGAGGAACGAATGCCCCCCTGCCCCCCGAGTCCTTGCCACCCCTGAATGCTCCACTCCAGATGAAGCTGTTCTGGTTTTCTCGCTCTCCTCTTGAGAGTAACATTGCTCCACCTTGATTTCCCACCACTTGCCAAGGTTGCCTGTTGTGCTGACTTCTTGCTTCTCCCCTCCCTTTAGGGAACAAGGGAGCTGTGGGGGTGTCGTTTATGTTCAACGGAACGTCTTTGGGATTTGTTAACAGCCACTTGACCTCCGGAAGCGAGAAGAAACTCAGGTAATAGAGCTCATTGCCTGAGAGCGTGTTATGGGGTTATCTGCCCAGACAGACCTCACATCCGCCAACACCGCAACTACTGTGCAGCCCCCGGCTTTCCCCATCCCTGTGGCACAAGAGCGACCTCTCGTGTGGGTGAATCTTGTCGCGAGGACAGGACGCGTGTTTCCGTATGTCATTGATCTCACAGATGCCTAAATACCACTCCATTTCTCAAGGGCAGGACCTCCTGCGGGCACCCTTGCAGATCACAGCCTGTTGGGCCCAGTCATGAAGACCTCTGTCTGGAATAATCATGGTTCCAGTCCCTGCTGGACGGAGGCTCTGGGGGCCCCTGCACTGTGCCCCCGCTTCCGCCTGAAAGGCCCTTTGCACCCTGACTATGTCCCACCTGCACACGGAGGGGGTCTGCTGCAGCCGCCGGGGCCCCAGAACTACGTCTCCGTCCCCCCCGGCTTCCTCCACCTTCCCACCAGGGTGGTGAAGTAGGGAACCAGCGACCCCATGCAAGACGGCTACTTTTTCATTTAAATAGGCGAAACCAGAACTACATGAGCATTCTCCGGTTTCTGGCTCTCGGGGACAAGAAGCTAAGCCCTTTCAACATCACTCACCGCTTCACCCACCTCTTCTGGCTCGGGGATCTGAACTACCGCGTGGAGCTGCCCCCCTGGGTAAGGGGCTGCCCACCAGCCCACCAGGGGCGGGGGCTGCACGGGGCCACGGAGGCACAGGCCGAGCTGGGCCGAGGCCACTACGCCCCCTCAGGGACTCGATGCCGTCCTGTTGTGGAACCCCGCACCTTTCCAGTTCCCTCTGCTCACACTGGGTCCCCACATACCCGAGGAGACCAGCCCAATTTTCTGTCCAGATGGCGGGTCACTGGGCAGCTAAGGAAAACGTCGCTTGCGTCGGATGCCCAGGCATGGTCCACCGAGGAGCAGACCAAAGGGCCACTTGGCAGACACGGCCCTGCTCACTGAGGGAGAGCAGAGCGTTCCCAGGAAGGGGGTGGACAGGCCTGGGAGCAGAGCCGTGCGGTCTGTGCAGACACCTGGGTTACAGCTTGTACGTCCCTAACCGGGGTGTAGAACCTTCACTTT